GATATGTTTGTGTATATTTATATATATATATTATTTATATGTATATATATACAGATATACAGATATACACAGGTCGAACATGAAGTAGGAAGGCGTTGGTTATAGTTTGGGTTCCATCTGCCCCCTAAGGAGGACGGAAGAGGTGAAGCCACTCTATCATTGACGTAGGAAGGCGCGAAAAGTATATTGGAATCTGGGCATCCAGCAATATTTGCTTTCAACGACCGACGGATATGTGTCAGAGAGAGAGAGAGAGAGAGAGAGAGAGACCACACATAAATAAATTATCCCGGCAAAGCAACCTAACAGCGATGTGTAGGAGCATATCTGGAAGCATTCCCCTTAAGATTCAGATGAGAATCCAGTTGTAGAGTTCTGCTGTTCTCGCAGTCGTAGTCGCATTCGCGATGACAGTCGCAGTGGCAACGGCAGTCGCAGTCACAGCCTCAGCCTCAGCCTGCCTCAGCCTCAGCCTCCGCCTGCCTCAGCCTCAGCCTGCCTCAGCCTCAGCCTCAGCCTGCTTGCCTCAGCATCAGTCTGCCTTCAGCTTCGGCCTCAGCCTCAGACTGCCTCAACCTCAGCCTGCATCAGCCTCAGCCTCAGCCTCAGCCTGCCTCAGCATCAGCCTGCCTCAGCTTCAGCCTCAGCCTCAGCCTGCCTCTGCCTCAGCCTCAGCCTGCTTCAGCCTCAGCCTCAGTCTGCCGTCGGCCTCGGCCTCAGCCTCAGCCTGCCTCAGCCTCAGCCTGCATCAGCCTCAGCCTCAGCACGAAGCAACCCAGCTAGAAGGACAAAACGCTGAATGTACACCGATGTGTTCGACGACTGCGTATGTAATGATGTGACGATATACAGACTGAGCCCTTCGTGAATGTCTACATGTTTTTCTGACGCCTACAAACGGCGCTGACGTGTGTGAGAAAATTGTCCGCGCAGCAAAAGCCGGCGAAGCGTGCAGACAGCCAGCTGCAAAAGGTTGCGAGCGGCTCTTGGAAGACGTTTACGGAACGGAGCTACGGTGTCTGAAAACATTGGCATCGAAGCGAAGAGCCTCGGAGCCCTGCAGCCTGAGAAACACCGCAGGAACTCGCATACTGAAAAGGAATGCATTGCAAACCGCACGTTGCGAACCCTGCAGGCTGAGAAGCACCGCAGGATGTCGCATGCTGAAAAGCACTTGTACTGCAGAGCGCAGGCTGCGAAACCTGCAGGCTGAGAAGCACCGCAGGAACTCGCATGCTTTCGAACACTACTGCTCGAGACCGCAGCTGGAGAGCGGCAGACCGCAGGCTGAGAAGCACCGCGGGCAGAGAGACTTGCAAAACTCAGATGTCCTGATCGTCTTGGAGGAAGTCACGCCAGTCCGGCGGCTGCCAAGAATCGATGATGCGCCTGGAGCCACCGCCCGTGCTGCCGCCGATGTCCAGGTAGTCGCCATCGCCCCTGAACAGACGGCCGTGCCCGCACGCCAGAATCGCTTGGTTGCGGATTTGAAGCAGCGCTCCGCTCTCAAACATCTGCAACACGTCCTGCTGCCTGCGCGTGAAGTTCGGCTTTGCCTGGCCAGCCTGGGCAGACAGATGGAGGGAAAGCCGCTCCCCCTCGTTGTAGCGCGCGATGGCCTCGGCCTTCTGGTGGTGCAGCCGGCGCCGCTGTTGCCGCAGAGCTTCCTCGGGAACTGCTGCATCACGGCCCTCACTGTGATCAGCTTGCAACGCTTGCGTTAACCAATCAACGTCGAAGCGCCCTGAGAAGGCCAGCACCTCCCAGATCTGTTTGGTACCGGCCACACGTTGCAAATGGCGATGCCACCGCTTACGCTTCTGGTCTTTCACAAACTTGGCGACGCTACCCAGACCTGCACCCTTGGCCTGGCCACCTTTTCCCGCAGGCTGAGAAGCACCGTGAGAACCTTTCTTACCGCCTGGCCCTTTGTTCGGACCCTGCGGAACCGCATGGCCCCCTTGTGGCGCAGACTTGCCTTTCGCTTTTCCCTTTTCGATATCCCGTTCCTGAAGCGCACGCTGCTGCCGCGACTGCTCGTACTGGTCGCGAGCTACTCTGACCAATTCCTGGCGCTCAGGCTCCGTGAGAACGTAGCGCATGTCGTCGATGTTCTTGCTCCGCAGAAAGTCATGTCGAAGCTTAAGGACAGAGAGAATGGCTCGGCCAGTCTCCTCCTGAGACGCAAAGGCCGTGTCATATTCCGAGCCAGGCTGAGGAGCGCCAGCTGGATCAGTGTCCGCTGGCTCCGTGGACTTCCTCTTTTTGAAAAGCAAGAGACTGAGATGATGGAGGACTTTCGGATCGTACTCCTCGTCGTACCTGTCGTCCCAAAGCTGCCTCAGCTCCCTGTGCAAGTCGTCCGCGCGATTCTGAACGACATCCTCGACGTAGTCGGGATCACCCGGTGAAGTCGGTGAAAGCGGAGGAGCAGAACTCGGCGACCGATCCCAATGCACAGAAGACTCGCGGTCCGCCTGTACGCTGACGTCGGCGTCGGAGACGTTTTCGACGACAATTTTCCGCCTCTTGCTCTCCCCAGGCTGAATAGCACCAGGGAGAGTGAGCACAACCGCCACCGCATCGTGTGCGTCGTTGCGCATGCCACGATCCGTAAAAGACGCGCCAACGGCAATGGAGCAGAAACGGGCGACTGCTCCGCAGACCGCGACGTGGTCGCCTTTGAGGTCGGCCGGAGTGGCATGGACCTCCCATACCTTCTCGTCGTTCTGCTCGCGCTGGTAAGCCTCCCGCGCCTCCTGGAAAGTGAGGTTGTCGTCGCCGACTACAAGCACAACGACTGCCTCGTTTAGATTCTCAAGAATCTTGGCCAGGCCGTCCAGGTGCAAGCGGAGATGGCGAACTGTCCGCTTTCGAGTCTGGATGCTCGGCGGTTTCTTGCCGCACACGATGTGCATGTTGGCGATCACCACGTGGAACTTGTCATGGCCTGGTTTGTTCACCTCAAAATGTGAAATAACAGCATCAATATCTCGGCCGCTAGGAGGCCTGTAAACTTTGCTGTCTTCGCACAGAGTCAGTTCCGCAGGCTGAGAAGCACCGCGGAACCCCCAGAGAGTCAAGTAGTTGTCGACCTCCAAGAAGCGAATGCCATCACCGAAAGGCTTACTGAGGATCTCTGTCACGTTGATCCCTGCTCGGCGAAAGCCTTCACGGAACGCACCGACCTCGCAGCCACAGACCATATCAGCATCAGCGGTCTCCACTATCTTGGCGCACAACCTTCCGAAGTTAGCGCAGTGAGTGGCCGCCTGCTTACCAGTCATCATGCCCTGCTCGAACCCGAAATTGAACGAGGCGACCGTGAAAGACGCAGGCTGCACAGCGCCAGAACCAGGCGTCTGTCCACCTTCCTCCGCAGGCTGAGAAGCACCGCGAGGCGGCGCAGGCTGAGAAGCACCGCGAGGCGGCGACACTTCGGACGAGCCTCGCGGAGCAGAGGCTGCGGATGAACGTTGGACATGGGGGTACGGCCAGGGGAACGCCATTGCAATCAAAACTCAGTGGACTGCAGTGAATGAATGTAGTGGCCAATTGAATGCAGAGGACTGCAGTGTCACTAGCAAGTCCTGAACCAAACACAGCTGTGGCGGAAGGAATATGAAGCGTCTGGCTATTCAAAATGTTGCCCGGCAATGGAGTTCTGGGAACTCGAAGACCAGGAAGTGGACTAGAGTTGGCTCTGGGCATCCAAAATGTAGCCCAGGAATGGAGTTCTGGGAACTCGAAGAGCACGAAGTGGCTTACAGTTGGCTCCGGGCATCCAAAATGTGGCCCGGGAATGGAGTTCTGGGAAATGGAAGAACACGAAGTGGCCTACAGTTGGCTCCGGGCATCCAGAATGTGGCCCGGGAATGGCGTTCTGGGATGTCGAAGAGCACGAAGTGGCCTACAGTTGCATCCGGCCCCCCAGAATGTGGCCCGGGAATGGCGTTCTGGGATGTCGAAGAGCACGAAGTGGCCTACAGTTGCATCCGGCCCCCCAGAATGTGGCCTGGGAATGGAGTTCTGGGAAGGCGAAGAGCACGAAGTGTGTGACTGTTGGTGAAAAACGAGCCCGGCTCATGCCGCCCGGAAACGCCTCAACACCTGCCCGGACCCCCCTGTGGAGTGATCTGTGAGCTCTTTTGACACTACTAGAAACCTATCAGTCTTCGCTGTTAGGTAATAAAGAGAGAGAGAGAGAGAGAGAGAGAGAGAGAGAGAGAGAAACAAAGACAGAGAAGAGAGAGAGAGAGAGAGAGAGAGAGAGAGAGAGAGAGCGAGAGAAACATACAGAAACAATGATCGACGGTGCCGGTAGGGACATAGTCTGTCTGGGCGCCCCACGGCAAGCGGCGTGTGCGCCCAACGCTTAGGGCTTGCAAGCAGCAACTTGAGTGGCGGACGGGAAGTAAAATGACGCCCCGCGCACGACGAGGCGCAAGAGAGAGAGAGAGAGAGAGAGAAAGTCAGAGAGAGAGAGAGAGAGAGATAGAGAAAGAGGGAAACGAGAGAGAGAGAGAGAGAGGGAGAGAGAGAGAGAGAAACAACACACATAAAGAAAGACATCGCGCGAGAGCAGAGCAAACACAAACACTTGGAACCAATTATCTCATGATGAGCCCCACCAATCGCCAAGCAGCCCGGGAGCGCGGCTCCTGCCGAGCTCCCAACAGGCAGGCCCATGCACTGAGCCAGGAGCTCAACCTCAGGAACCATTCCCCCCCTCGTTTTGCGGCGCCCACAAGATGGGTGGCGCGAGGGGGGCGGCCTTCTGAGATGGCGGGAGGGCTTCTGAGAAGGTCGAGGGTCCTCTTGGAAGGGCAAGGCAGCTTCCAAGGAGCCCTCCCTCTCGGAAGCAGGGCATGCCTCTAAGAAACCCCCTCCTTCTCAGAAACCCCGCTATTCCGTCAGACGCCCACCCCCTTCGCGCCAACCCCCCTTGTGGGCGCGGTCGTCTCGTGGCGACAGCGTGCCCAGCCGCCCGCTCCGAGGTCCTCGGGGTCATCGTCGTCCTCGGACTCATCCTCACCAGAGAGGAGCGCCAAGGCGTCCATCGCCGGCCGGCCCCAAACCTGGACCCAGCGGGCTCGCGCCGGGCCCCCCCGACGCCTTTGTAGGCCTCCCAGATGGGGTCGGGGTAGATGGGGTCGAAGGATCTCGACGCATCGCCGATTCATCACCGATGAATCGGCTGCGGCTCGATGTGGAGCCCGATGTTCTTCACGCGGACGTCGCCGATGCATCGCCGACGTCGCCGATGCATCGCCAGCGCATCGCCGATGCATCGCCAATGCGGCGCGACCCTTCGACCCCATCTGCTCCGACCCCACCTAGGAGGCCTCTACCCTTGGGGCCCCCCAAGTGTCCTGCCGCTGGTGGGGCCTCGCCGTCGGTGGGGGGATCAGCCCGGTCGGATCAGAGGGGGGGATGTCTCCAGGTCCCTTGCTCAATCCCCTGAGCCGCAGCCCTTGATCCCGAAGATCTCGTGGGGTCTGGGCCCCAGAACTCTCAAATCTCCCGGGGCTCTCGGCGCGCATTCCCGCCTGACTTTTTCGCTCCCCCCCCCAAAAGAAAAGAGAGCAAAGATGGGCCAAGAGGCCTCCGACCTGCAACTAAGGCGCGGTGGCAGGATGGGCCGAAGGCCACTAGACCCGCCGCCCGCTGTTGATTCATCACGAGGGTGCACAGCGTGTTAAGATTTTTGTTTCTTGTCTGAAGACCTCCCAATGGGGTCTCGTCCCAACCCGCTGGCCTCCGTGAAACTCGACGTACCCGTCATAGTTTTTCCCGCTCAAGACGGCCCACGTATGGCCTCCAAGACGGCCAGTGTGCTTCCAAGACGGCCAATGTGGTCCAAGATGGCCTCCAAGATGGTCCCAGGACATCTCCAGGACGGCCAGGATGGCCCCAAGGCGTCCCGAGATGTCCCCCGGACGGTCCAGAAAGCCCCGCGGACGCCCCAAGAGGGCTCTAAGAGGCTCCAGGAGGCCAAACGTATTGCTTTTCTTTCGGCTTGCCAATGATTTTCGCATTCTCGCCTTTTGGGGCTGCCGACGCTCCAAGGCGGGGCCCATACGCCCCGAGCTCCTCCCACGGCGGCTCATGAGGCCCCCAAGAGGCCAGCATCACGGCCCCAAAGGGCCCCGAGACAGCCCAGGCGGTCCTCGGGACGGCTCCAGAGACCTCCACAGACCTCCCAGACGGCCTCCAAAGGCCAAGAGGCCCCTGAGACGCCCGAAGAGGGCTCCAGGAGGACCTCCAGGAGGCCAAGCTCATTGATTTCCATTTGAGCTCTCAATGGTTTCAGCTTTCTCGTCTTTTCGGGCTTTCGACGCTCCAAGATGGCACAAGAGGTCTTAAGAGGACTGCAAGACAGCCCACGAGATCCCCAAGACGCCCCACGACAACCCCAGATACCTCCAATATGGCAATATTGCCCTGACGCGGGGAAGTTTTTTTTTTTTTTTTTTTTGGGGGGGGGGGGTTTGATTGTGTTTTGTTTTTTTATTCTTAGTATTTGTTTGTTTTTTCTTCCTTCTTATATATATATATACACATCTATCTATTATATATATATATATATGTATAAACAATAAAATTATCCTCTCTCTTTCAAACGCCAACGGAAGCTTTCAGCCAATTGACAGCCCGTGCGTTTGCCCTTGACCTGGCGGAGGGGCTCCGCCAATTGGCAACGGGACTGGCTTGCGTGGCCCCCAATGATTGGGGGCGAGGCGCTGGGGGAAAGACAAGTGGGAGGGGCGGGGATTGGTCCTCACAAGGCTGGTCACGGTTGCGAATGTGAAGCGGTCTTACCCGACTGTGTCTTCTGAGTTCAGGAGTGCCTGGCGCGGGCTCTCACCATTTTGGGGGTGCTGAGTTTCAGTTGTGCAGATTTTTGCGGAATCGCGGCGGTTCCTCATTTCGCAGTGGCCAGGTACGGTTGCCAATGCCAACGCTATGATGTGCACGCCCTCCATCCCACGGCTACCGTGACCCAACCCACGATGGATTTGGCTACCGTTGGCGGTTCGGCCCGTCACTTCCAACGGTAGGCTACAGCATTGCGAGGATTTGTCCCCGTCGAATGTGCCGTTAAATGGATTATGAGTGCCAGTTATGCCTTGCACGACCCTCCTGTTGCGGACAAGAACCCTGCTGGTATTCACTGAGCGCGTTCACCGAGGCGCCCCCCCCATCTCCCTCTCTTGCTACATCGCGCCCCACATCCTCGCAATCATTGTCACCTAGCCTGCAGTGCCGCCATCAGTTGCTGTTTTTGCCTTGGGACGATCGGAAGTTTTCAACCAAATTGCGATGGCTTTCAGTTAAGTGGCAGCCGAACATCTGAGCTTTCCGCCTGTCAGATGCGTAGCACAGGCGTGACGCATCCTTCTCCTCCTCCTCCTCCTCCTCCTCTTCCTCCTCCTCCTCCTCCTCCTCCTCCTCCTCCTCCTCCTCCTCCGCGCGGTCCCAGTGGCGAGGGCTGCGGTTTCCCAGTTACTTGGGGCTGCCGACCGAAGTGTCCGGCCTCGACCAGGGTGGTGTGTTGTTTTCTCCCCGGGCCTCCAGCACGCCGGAGGCTCCAGGAATTGTTGTCGCGCCGCCCCCCCCCCGGCCGTGGGTCCCGCGCGCGGCGCAGGGGAGCAGAGGGGGGGGGGCTAGCAAAGCTCCCGCCTAAGCTCAACCGTCCGTGGAAGCTTGGACGCGAGCAGTGCGCGCAGGTGCGGCCGTCGAACCCCCCTGGGCGATCGACGGCGGCAAATGGCCCCTCCCCGAGCAACCCCCCTGGGCAGGCGATGCTAGGGAGAGCTGGAAAATGCAAACACTGCCTGGGCGAAAGCTCATAGCTATAGTAACACACCGAGCTTAGGCATCCGGAAGTTGAGGAGCGAAGCTGATGGTCCTGCCCGCGTGCACGAACAACCAGAGCCTTTAACTTACTCTGAGTCTCGAGATTTATCCAAACTATTCGATCGAGCGAAGGCGGTTGCAGAGCGGCTCGTGTGCCTGGGCTGTGTGCCTGGTGTGTCAGGTGTGCCTGGGCGGTGTGCCTGGTGTGATCGGTAGGTGCGCCTGGTGTGCCTGGGCGGTGTGCCTGCTCGGTGTGCCTGGTGTGCCTTGTCGGTGTGCATGGTGTGCCTGGTCGGTGTGCCTGTTGCGCATGATCGGTGTGCCTGGTGAGCATGGTCGGCGTGCCTGGTGTGCCTGATTGGTGTGCCTGTTGTGCCTGGTCGGTGTGCTTGGTGTTCCTGGTCGGTGTTCCTGGTTTGCCTGGTCGGTGCATCTGGCATGCCTGGTCGGTGTGTCTAGCGTGCCTGGTCGGTTTGCCTGTTGTGCCCCGCTGTGCTTTGGCAATGTGCGCCTGGTTGGTGTACCCGGTGTACTTGGTGTGCCTGGTCGGTGTGCCTGTTGTGCTTGGTCGGTGTGCCTGGTGTTCCTGGTCGGTGTGCCTGGTGTGCCTGGGCGGTGGGCCTGTTGTGGCTGGTCTGTGTGGTCTGGGTGCGTGGTGTGCATGGTCGATGTGCCTGGTCGGTGTGGTTTGTGTGCCTAGTGTGCCTGGTGCGCCTGGTCGGAGTCCCTGTTGTGCCTGGTCGGCATGTCTGGTGTGCTTGGGCGGTGTGCCTGGTGTGCCTGTGTGCCTGGTGTGCCTGGTGTGCTTGGTGTGCTTTGTCGAGGTACTCTGGGTGCCTGGTCCTTGTGCCTGGTGTGCCTGGTGTGCCTGGACGGTGTGCCTGGTGTGCCTGGTCGGCGTATCTGGTGTGCCTGGTCGGTGTGCCTAGTGTGTCTGTTGTGCCAGATCGGTGTGCCTGCTGTGCCTGGTCGGTGTGCCTGTTGTCCCTGGTCGGTGTGCCTGTTGTGCATGGTCGGTGTGCCTGGTGTGCTTTGTCGGCGTGCCTGGTGTGCCTGGTCGGTGTGCCTGGTGTGCCTGGTCTGTGCTCCTGGTGTGCCTGGGTGGTGTGCCCGATGTGCCTGATGTTCCTGGTCGGTACGCCTGGTGTGCTTGGTCGATGTGCCTGGTGTGTCTGGTCGGTGTGCCTGGTGCGCCTGGTAGGTGCGCCTGGTGTGCCTGTTGTGACTGGTCGGTGTGGTCGTTGTGCCTGGTGTGCCTGGTTGGTTTGCCTGGTGTGCCTGGTCGGTGTGCTTGGTGTGCCTGGGCGGTATCTTGGCTTTTCCGATACGTAACACGCAACACGTAGCGTATTGATACGTCCCTCAACAGAACGACTGAACACGTAGGTATGTCGCGATACGTTTTCCAAAGCGTGGGCCAATGCGCGGAGCCAACACGCAACGTATTGACACAGACGTTTTAAGCACGGTACGTGCTGCGTTTCAAAATAGGCGTATCGAGGGAGCTAAGGTCGGTATGCCTTGTGCGCCTGCTGCGCCCAGAAGCTCCTAGGGGTTCCCAGGAGGGCCCAGGATAACCCTAGCAGGCACGAGGAGCCCCGCGAGAGGCCCCTTAGACTCCCCCCAACGGCTACTGGGAAGCCCCAAGGAGTCCTCAAGAGGGCCTCAAGAGGCCTCTTCTTCCTCCTCCACCTCCTTGTCCTCCCTCTTCTCTTCCTTTCTTTTCCTTTCCCCAGTGCTCCCCCAAGGCATTCCACAATGACTGAAGGAACACATCGTCCAATAGCTTGGCCAGACTCCAGCCCAACGTTTGGCCGCAGGGGCGCTTTCAGAAGGCAAGGGGCGGCGGCGTCTCGCCGCAGGCGTCGTGACATGAACCGAGGACTACGCGCAATAGCGCGGCCGAAGCCAGCTTCGTGCCTCCTCCTCCTCCTCCTCCCCCTCCTCCTCCCCCTCCCCCTCCTCCTCCTCCTCCTCCCCCCTCCCCCTCCTCCTCCTCCTCCTCCTCCTCCCCCCTCCCCTCCTCCTCATCCTCCTCTCCTCCTCCTCCTCCTCTCCTCCTCCTCCTCCTCCTCCTCCTCCCTCCTCCTCCTCCCTCCTCCCCTTCCTCCACTCCCTCCTCCTCCTCCCCTCCTCCTCCTCCTCCTCCTCCTCCTCCTCCTCCTCCTCCTCCTCCTCCTCCTCCTCCCCCCGCCTGTCGCGGGCCCGGGGGGCGGGTCCTGGAGAGCACGGGCCCTGGACCTCGGGCCTGTCCCGGGGGCCAGAACTCTCTCTCTCGCTGCCGGCCGGTGTCGGACGGCCCCGTGGCGCGAGGAGGGCCCCATCTGGAGGCTGCACGCAAGAGTAGGAGGAGTAGGAGTGGGAGTAGGAGTAGGAGTAGGAGTAGGAGGAGGAGTAGGAGGAGGAGGAGGAGGAGGAGGAGGAGGAGAAGGAGGAGGAGGAGGAGACCTCTAGTGCGCGGACTCAGGGGGTGCAAGGCGACCAAATCCGAGCACGCAGGCAGCCGCCATCGCATCGCGCGCGGCGATCGTGAATGCCCCGGTTCGCCCGCACGAGAGGTCACTCCGGCGAAGGGTCACTCTCACTCTTGCGTGTCGTCGAGGATGAGCCCGCCGGCGGCGGAAGGCCTGTCTCCCTGCCCCAGGAGCCCGCAAACGGGGGGGGTGAGGAGCAGAGGGCAGAAGCTCCACCCCTATCGTGCCGTCTCGCAGACGCCAGTTGTCGGGTCTGGGCGGTGGCTCCCCTCCCGAAGAGGAGGGCCCCGAGGCGCGTGGGAGGGCCCCCCCCGCGGCGCGAGGGCCCCCCCCCTGCGGCGCGAGGAGGCCCCCCCCCGCGGCGCGAGGAAGGGCCCCCCCCGCGGCGCGAGGAGGGCCCCCCCGCGGTCGCGCGGCCCGAGCTCGGCGGGCGCGGGCCCCGCTGCCGGTGGCAGCCCCTCCCCCCCCCCGCCGAGCTCGGGGAGGGCGAGGGGCGCGCCGGCCCTCGAGCCGAAAGCGGGGGGGGGGGGGGGGGCGGCGGGCCTCGGCGGGGCAAGCGACCCGGGGGGGAGGGCGAGGGGGAGGGGGGCCCTCTCGGAAGGCCCCGGGGCCTCTCTCAGAGGCCCCTGGCGCCGCCCGAGAGTTTTTTGTGTGCTCTGCGGTGTCTTTGCTTTTTTCCGTGGGCGGGGGAGGCTGCGACGCGACGGCCCGCCCCTGCTCGCTTCCCTCCCTCGCCATCGCTTGGACGTCCACTCCTCGTGATTTTTTTTGGTCTCGTGCGTGCTTTTTTTTTTTCCTCGAGGGTCCAGGATGGGACTCGAGGGCCCCCGCCGAGGAACAAATACACACGTCGCTTCCTTCCCCCCTCCCCCCCCCTCCCTCGCCGCCGAGGCGGTCTTGGGCGGCGGGGCGCGCGGCAGGGCCCCGCGGCGAGCGGGGCGGCGGATCGGCGGCTCCCCCCGGGCAGAGGGCCCTCCCCGGCCTGCGGGGGGCCGGGGGTCGGCCCGGGGGGGCCCTCGAGCCTCGACCGGGGTCTTCGGTCCTCGATCGAGCGGCCCTGGGTCTTCGATGATCCTCGATCGAGCCTCGATCGAGCGGCCCCGGGTCCTCGAGGATCCTCGATCGATCCTCGATCGAGCGGCCCCGGGTCCTCGGCCCTGCAGGGCCGAGGAGCGGGCGGCCCTGGGCCTCCGATCCTCGATCGCGGGTCGAGGGCCGAGGGTCCGAGGATCCTGAATGGGGCCCTGCGACAAACAACTAAATAGACACCAGTATAACAGGATTCCCAACATTGTTTCCTATATTTTCTGGGTCTTTGTCTCCCCCCCCACTTCCCATCTTTTCCCACGTTTTCTCGGAATCGACGATTCATTGTGTCTGTGTGTTTTCCCCCCTCCCGAACCGATCCCTGCGATCGCTGCGCCGAGGATCGGGGGCGAGGGAGACGGGCGCCCGCGCAGGCGGCAGCGCCGCGCAGGGCGGCGGCCCCCACGACAGAGGCCTCCCGGCGCCCCAGTGTGCGACGAGAAGGAGTGGGTCTCAGACGAGACGACAGGGCGGATTTCGGAAACCCTGAGCCCAAAAACATGGTCATCTCTTGGGGGGCGTTTTTTTTACTCCCGCCACCTTCCGCCGCCCTTCCGCCGGCTGCCGCCCGCGGAGGCGGCCTCGTTCTACTTCCGCCGACCTTCCACCGCCCTCCCGCTGGCTTCCGCCGCGGAGAGATGCCAACTCCCTGGATTCTCGAACGCAAGGCCCGTTTTGGAACGCCCCACATACAGTCAACACTTATAGTAAGGGCTGCGCGACAAGGATGCAAATCCTTTGGGCGCGCATGTCGAAGCCTTTCGAGGGGGGCTGGCCGTCGAACGTGGCTAAGGATGGACCGAGGAGGCAAGGATGCAAGGGCACTATCGAGAAAGTTACCGATTCTTGCTGTCGGTTTCGACTGTAGCGGCCTTGCGCCGCAGCTCCCGCGGGCCGTCAGCGTGGTACAGTAGATGGGGCCTGAGGATCGCGCCGCACCGCCGATGCATCGGTGCTGCTGGTCTCTCTTCTCCCCCCGGCTGATGTTCCCACACCAAAAATCAGTGGACGTCTTCGGGTCTCGGGGCTGGGTTTCTTGCGGACGCTCTCTTGTGGGCTGGCCTCCGCTGCATCCACATGTGGTGCCGCCTCGGGCCCCAGGCCATCGCCTCCCAGGCGGTGGTCACGGGCCCACCCCCGCCTCGCAGACACGGCTCCCCCAGAGGTTGCGGCTGATCGGGCAGGCACCACGGGCTCCGGCCCGGCGCCCGCCGGCGACGTCGGCGATGCATCGGCGACGTCAACGAGGATCACAATAAGCTCCACATCGAGCCGCATCGGCGATGCATCGGCGATGCGGCGCGATCCTCTGACACCATCTGCACTGACCCCGGGAGGTCCAGATACGAGGAGGGTTGATGATCGACTCTCGAGGCTCGAACTTCGAGGTTCGAGGCCCATGGACGTGTTCCACCTGTTTTTTGCGCCTCTGGGGGCTCCTCGTCGCCACGGCCGAGTGCAACTCGAAGCTCTGGCCAAGCCGATGCCTAATCCTCGATCCGCCTAGGACGTCTGGCGCTTCGGGCAAGACGAAGCGACTGGCAGTTCTCGGTATGCCACCATGTTTCGCCGCTGGAGGCTGGCTGCTGGCGTCTGGGCCGTCAACAGCCGGCTCGGGACGAAGAGCTGGCCCAGGGGAGAAGCTGTGAAGTCTGGGGACCCAAGGGAGAAGAGAGGAAGTCCGGGGGCCCACGCGTCGAACAACACTTTTGGCGGCGAGCGAAAGGGGGAAGTGACAAGGAGAAGGCCCCCTCGGAGGCCCGCCTCACATCCTTGGAGGTGGCACGTGCGCAGGGCAGCCACCGGGCACGCGCTGGCCCTCCACAGGCGTGGCGCCGACGCGCGCGGGAAGGAACGCCCGTCGTCACCGGCGGCCTTCGCAGGGGCCGCGTCGGGGGGACGCGCGCGGGCCTCGTGCCCCTCCGGTCCCCCTGGGGCAGTCTGAGGAGGAGGAGTTGTTGGATGAGGAGGAGCAGGAGCAGGAGCAGGAGGAGGAGGAGGGAGGAGGAGGAGGAGGAGGAGGGAGGAGGAGGAGGAGGAGGAGGAGGGAGGGGAGGACTTCAACACAGAGAATCAACGTAACTGTTGCGCCCGCATGCTCCTGAATCCTTCCAAAAAAGCGTTTTTGTGGCCGCAGTGGGCGCGGTCCCTCGGTGGGCAGGACGCCGACGACGACGACGCCACCGACGTGGTGGAGATCGGCCGATCTCTCTGCCGGCGCCCACACGCTGACGGCCGACTCCAGCGCCCTCGAACCCAAGAGTTTTCACGCCTCACCTGGGGAGGCCAATGGGTACCAGTACCGCTGCTCCCCGGACCTCTCCTGGGGTTCGTTCCGACTAGGATTTCGAGGCGAATCCAGCGGTGGCGATGAGGGCCTCCCAGGAGGCCCCAAAAGCGGGAAACGAGGGAAGGGTAGAGGTAGGGGTACACATCGGTCGGAAGTATGTAGAAACATGCAGTCGGAAGGCGTTGAAAATAGATCGGGTTCTGTCCGCCCCCTAAGGAAGACGGGACAGGTGAAGCCACTCGATCATTGAAGTAGGAAGACGCTTAAAGTAGAGTGGAATCTGGAAATCCAGAAATACTTACTTTGAACGACCGATGGGTACCTTTTTCCTCCCCTGAACACCTCTGCTTCCAGCGCCTTCCGCCGACCTTCCGCTGGCGGCGCCGCCGCAGTTTTGCCGCCGCGGGCCTCCGCCGAGGGCGAGGGTGTGCCGAGGGCGAGGCCCTTCCGGAAGCGCCCCGGCTGAGCTCGGCGTGCCAAGCCCTGATAAAAACGGGTCCTATACTGCAGGAGCTCGATCACAAGACACCTTCCACAAGAAGCCCAACCCTGAGACCCCCGGACGTCCATGGATTTTCGGCACGGATGCGTCACGTTTCCCATCGCACAACCATCGAACCCCAAGAAACCCAGGGCACCCTGGAGGCAAGCGGGGTGTTGTCTGGTGTGGGTCTCCACTGTAGGCCCGGGGGGCCTTACCCAGGATCAGCCCTTCCCCCGAGCTTCTTCCCGACGCCCCAGGGGCTCGTGGAGGGCCCCGGGGGGGCCGACGACAGCGGACACACCGGCGCCGAAGCGCCGATACACTCTAACAGCCCCATCATTGAATTAAAGACGTGCTTAAACTGTGTACATGTTCTAAGCATGTTTCAAAGATTTTGTAACATATTTAAAACATGCTTTCAACATGTCTGAGACATCTAGAAATTATTTGGCAACATGCTTCCTCTCCATTGATCGTCCTCCACCCTAAGCATAAAGGCGGACCCCTGGGCCTTCGGGCGCCAAGTGGCTGCCGCTCGCCTGGGCGTGGCACTCGGGGGCGGCGTCGGCCTGGGCAGCTGAGGCGGGCGCCCTCCCAGCGAGTCGGTGCGGCTCCGCTCGAACCAGCGCAGCACGTCTACGGCGGAGGGCATCGGGGTGGAGAGCCGCAAGGACGCACCCCGTCGCATCCGTGGGGCCCGAAGAGAGCAATGAGGTGGCAGATCCAGAAGCTGGGATCGGGGATGGGGGGCTGTGGGCGGGCGCAAAGGAGGGGGGCAGGGGGTGGATGAGGAGAGCGGGGGAGGGAGGCAGGGGAGCGGGGGGATGTGAGGCTGAGGGAAGGGGGGCGGGCGCCGGGGAAGGTGAGCCCCTTTCGGGGCTGGGATGGGGGCGTCCTTGCCTCTCCTGGCCTTGGCAGCGCCGACGCCAATGGCAGCGTGCGGTCCTCGAACGCGGAGATCAGGGTTGGTGGGCCCCGATCTGCTTTCGGCTCCGCAGCCAGCCACGCACCGAGGCGGCCCGCCGCCAACGCCACTGGTGCCGCGGCTGCGAGCAGCTCGGCCGACACGCAGGTGCCCGCGGGAATGCTGGAGGAGGCCCTGAATCTCCGGTGGCCCGGCCTGGCTGGGTCGTCTGGCAGCTCCTCCAGCTCCACCTCCAGCGAGTCGCCCAGGCGGGCGGCCCTGGCGAAGCGCCCGGCCTCCACCCCGAGCAGCACAGGCTCGCCCTGCCCGCCCTCCGCGAAGGCCCGCGCCAAGAGGCGCCCGAAGAAGCGAAAATAGTTGGCATAGAAGACCACGCCAAAGCAGTCGGTGTCCTCGATGTAAACCTGGTGGACCTCCTGCCACCGGCCATGTGCACGAGCTCGGCCTCTGGCCATCGCTCGGGCGTGCATTCCCTGTGCTTGTTTGTTCGGTCTCGTGCGTGGCCTTTTCGCGCCACATGATCCAGGATGCTCCTCGATGGCCCTCGCCGAAACATTTTTTGGTCTGCGGGGTGAGAGCGAACCTCTCCCGCTAAAGGCTAGGCGGGCCACGCACAGCTTTCATCAGGGAGCCAGGCCACAGGAAGGCGGGGCCTCAGGCGGCCCGAGCGGGCGGAGCCCGGGGTGCATCGCCGAAGGAAACGTGCACACGCCCGAACGACGCCAAGGCCTCCTGCCAGAGCCCTCCGGCGGCCGCGCCTCCGCGCCGCCGCCACCGCGGGCGCGGCGCAGGCCCTGGCCAGCAGCGCCGCAGGCGGCGGCGGGGCGCCCGGCCGCGGCCGGCGGGGGCCTGCGGCTGCGGGCCGCAGCGGCCCGGCGCCCGCCGCCGCCGCGCCGCTCGGGACGCCCGCCCAATGACCCAGACCCCCCTCGCGTCGTGAAACAAAATCACGACGGAAGGCTTTTCGCAATTTTCGGCCTCCGGGTGCCCTTCGGGGGCCTCGGGGCCGTCGAAAAACGACTCAGGATGAAGAACCGGGCCCGGGGAAGGGGTCCAGACCTCTGGGGGTCGACGTGGTGACAAAAATCACGACGTCGGAGGTCTGGGGAGCCGGCCGCATGGCAGCGGCGGGCGGGGGGGGGGGGGACAAGAGACGACCGCCAGAGCCTCCGGCTTGTGCCAGGGCAGCCACCGGTTTCTCGGCCCGGAGGAGTGCTCGGCGGGCGTGGACAGGGAGCGCGACGTGTCCGCGGTGGAAGGCAAGAGAGGGAGGGGCAACTACGAGCAAGTGGCGGCGCGGGGTCTCTCGAGGCACCACCCGCGGGGGGGGGGGGCGCTGTGCCCAGAACGCACGGCAAGCGCTGTCGACCAATGTAGCCGTCCGTTGCCACGGCAACACAAACTTCCAACGGCATCAACACGGCCTTGTCATCTGGCGGCCAATCTATGGCCCACTAGCAAAGCTTCTGGCCACGATCCGACGACGATGAACAATTAACGGCTTGTCTTCATGTGTAGCGTCGTCCCGTCAGCATTCCTGCGGCCCGCCAACGACACGTCTCACGACATGGGTCATTGATTTTTGTTGTTGTTGATTTTTCAATGTTTGTCGACGCGCCATGTTGTGGCACCCTGCTGGTCTGCACGCGATGCGCTGAAAGCCTGGAGGTGCACGTGGATATGTGGATCAATGTGCTGTGGCCCAATCTTGACCTTAGGAACAATTCGGAAGAACTCGAGAACCGCTGTGCACGTTGCATACAAGTCACAACCATACCGCGCGTGCACCCCTTTGCACGCATGGCCGAAGCAGCTGGGGCACAGGGTACTTCTGGTGCGCAGACGGGGCACCACTCATATGTGATGTCAAGGAAAGACGGGGCGGGCCATGAACAATGGGCCAGATCCTGGCAAACAAAACTCACACAAGCTTGATGCGCGTCCGTTAGAACATTCTCGTGGCCGTTCTGCTCAACCGTCGTCGCCCGCCCCGAACACGACGCTGGGCCGCGCCCTGCCCCGAAGCCGGGCGAGACGCCGCCTTAGAGTGTCGCATCACGGCAAAGTCCCCGCGAGGCGCCAGGTGGGAGATCTACAATTCCTTGTTTTTTCCTTCTCCCAGCGCACGAGATTCGTTTTGTCTTCGTTGTCCAGAGCAAAATGACACCACAGATGAGGAAAAAGAGGCGTCTCAAATGCAACCACTTCTGGAGTGATCTTCTTTCCAGGGCGCATTGCCGACTCCTTGGGCCGCCGACTCGCGGCGAAGTCTGCCTGTGCTCGAGGCCCAACCGCGGCTGGTCGAGCATGGGTGCCCGCCGCAGTCCGCTAGTCTTAAGTCGGGCCTGTCCCCCTACGGGGGGATTT